CACAGCGGTGATTTCCCCTACGACACCTGCGTTTGACTTCTCAAGGCGATATCTCGTTTTCTCGGGCTCGAGCGAGCTGTCAGCGCGCAGGCATTTTTACGACTGCCGCGACGGGGAATTGAAGTCCAGTGCCCACTGGACCATCGCAGCAGTCACATATTCACACACACACACACACACACACACACACACACACACACACACACACACACACACACACATATATATATATATATATATATATATATATATATATATATAGAGAGAGAGAGAGAGAGAGAGAGAGAGAGAGAGAGAGAGAGAGAGAGAGAGAGAGATGTATACACATACACATATATAGCCGCACTCTAGCTTGCTAAATAACTCTCGGGGGCCAAACGTCAGGCTCCAATACCCAAGCCTTCGTGCCGCATCCGGGCCCCGGAGGTCATCTTCTCACATCGCTCATCATTTTTTCTCTCACTTCTGAATGGGAGTTCTAAAAAGATTGCAAGAGTAAAACATTGTACTGAATAGAATAATGATGACGTAAAATAATAATAATAACTATGAGTTATTATTACAATAAATCTTGATACAAAAAAAAACACTTACAATAGGAGAGACTCGCTTCGAATTTTGTGAATGGCCCTTGGTCGGTTAGGAACACACTGGCCCTTGCGCCATCCGGCCTGTGTGTGCGTGTCCTCACGCGCGCATTTATGTATGTGTGTGTGTGTGTGTGTGTGTGTGTGTGTGTGTGTGTGTGTGTGTGTGTGTGTGTGTGTGTGTGTGAGAATAACAGCCACCCACCCACGCGCTCCCTCATTCCTCCTGCGGCATCGCTCGGCCCCGCCCGGCGCCGGCGTCTCAGCCGAGTGCTCACGAATCCTCGAACTTCCCGCGTTCCCTCACGCCGCGGCGGCCGCTTCCTCGCCGCTTCCTTCCCCTTCGTTGACTGATTGCTTACTCAGGCCTCTTACCTATCATTACCCATCCGGGCAGCTACCCCTTTGCCGCGATATATCGCATGGGAACGTATGGCTTTATCTTTCCGATGGAAAGGAAGTGCAGCTGCTAATAGAAAAGGAGTAAAAGCATATGCATGGTTGTGTGCCAATGAAAAAAATATATATGTATGAATGTATATAAGCATATAAATAAACAAATAAACAAATATCACACACACACACATTTATACATATATATTGCATAATTTGGGTAAATCAAACCTGGATACGGTAGTGGGTGAGTCTATCGTAGATATGATGGTGGGTTGAGAACCACCAACAATGATTACATAACCAACTACTCCCCTGGCGAAGGACCGTGGGTTATCCACCCTAGTAAAAGTCCCAGTCAACTACGTGATGGCGCCAAGTAGTTCGTCAAACACCGCATCGGCGATGGCACGAATGTGATGTATATACACTGTATATATATATATATATATATATATATATATATATATATATATATATATATATATATATATATATACATATATATGAATGTGTGTGGGTGTATGTATATATATATATATATATATATATATATATATATATATATATATATATATATATACATATATATGAATGTGTGTGGGTGTATGTATATATATATATATATATATATATATATATATATATATATATATATATATATATATATATATATATGTATATATATATATATATATATATATATGTATATATATATATATATATATATATATATATATATATATATATATATAAATGTGTGTGTATGTATATATGTGTGTGTATGTGTGTATGTATATATGTGTGTGTGTGTGTGTGTGTGTGTGTGTGTGTGTGTGTGTGTGTGTGTGTGTGTGTGTGTGTGTGTGTGTGTGTGTGTGTGTGTGTGTGTGTTTATATATATATATATATAAATAAATAAATATATATATATATATATATATATATATATATATATATATATATATATATATACATATAAATATATATATAAGCACACATATATACATATGTATATTCTTCCCTTCATGAAGCGGAATGACCATTGGGCTGAGCAGCCGTGGCATCCCAAACAATCATATTAGGGATGTGGTCAAAGTCAGAGTTGGTCCCATGTCCATGTGAACGTAGGGGACATGCTCACTAGGCCGCGCGATGATGCGGTAGGGTGGGCAGGAGCGATAAAATAAGCAAAGTAAAAGCCCCATGTTTTTTCTTTGCTCGCAGTTCCATCTAACTAGGAATGCCATCTCTGCCGTTTGTTCAGTAGGACTAAACACTTGCCAGATATTCTGCATCTGCCGTGAACTACCAGTTGCACAGTTAAACGCCTTCCACAGAAACCACTGCCCTGCTGCCAGCAGCTCCACCATAACCCTGGCACGGGGGGTGCTCATAGGGTACTCTCTCATAGGGTGCAGTTTAATGTTTTTTTTTTTAACAGCCATTCATTCCACTGCAGGACATATGCCTCTCTCAATTCACTATTGAGATGTTATTTGACAGTGTCATCCATGCCTGACTGGATGCCCTTCCTAATCAACCGCGGTTCGGCGCGCTAACACTTGT